CCCCCCCCCATCATCAGGCAGGGACCCCAGCTGGAGCTGGAGTAGGGCTACGGCGGGGGAAGGGGTCCCTGGCCGAGGCTGGGAACCCTCAGGGGGTCACCCGGGGCAGGGAGGAGGGCGGGGGGGGCACAGCCGTTTGCTGGAGGAGGGAGGGTTCATCCCCCAGTGGACCCCTCTGCCTCCCCACGAGTGTGCTGTGGGTCACGCCAGACCAAGGTTCAGTCACCAGACCAAGATGAAGGGGGTCTTGGGAGCCCAAGAGTTGGGTGGGGGGGAGGGAGGGACAGGCACAAGGGCAGCCCCACTCGAGGGGGCTGGTGCGATCCTTCGTCATGCAGGGGCACCCTGAGTCCATCGTAGGGTGCTGCAGGGGCACATCCAGGCCCAGGGCCTCAGGGAGCCGGCAGAACGGTGGGCGTCTGGGGGCCAAGAGAGCCGGGGAACCCAGCCCCCAGGGCAGACCAGCCCAGTCCATCAGTCTGTCACACCTCTGAGGGGGGCCGGGGGCTTGCCCAGCCTGGGGGGCCACAGCTGGAAGCCGGAGCTGGCAAACTCTGACCAGGATAAGGCAAGTGTGGGTGGGTGGTGCAGACCCCACGGCAGCCACCAGCAATGACAAAGGGGACCTCCCAGAACCGGGAATGGGGGGGTTCTGCCCCGCACCCTGCTCAGCCTGCCCTGGCTGGGACAAGAGCTGTGGCTGCCACAGGGGGAGAGGAGCCTGGCCCAGCCGGGAGAGCCGCCGATGGGTGGGCACCAGGTCCTGAGCAGGGACCACCTGAGGAGCTGCCCCCGGAGCCGTGGGGAGGGGGAGGGTGGACTTGTAGAGGCCCACACGTTGACAGGGGCCCATCCTTGGGTGCCCCATGGTGTCGGGGCAAGGGACTGCCCGCAGCGGTGCTCCAGGCAAGAGTCCAGGCAGGGGTCGGCAGAGCTTTGAGTCCAACCGCAAGGAAACATGGGGGGTGGCCAAGGTGGGGCCCAAGGGGGCTGGCCCATGGCAGGGAGGGGGCTGCCGATGGGGGGGGTCTCCCGGGAAGCAGCAGCCCCCTCCCTGCCACGGGCTGGAGGTGTCAGGCTCAGACCCCACCACCGGCTCCCGGCACGTCCACGGCTCCCCGGGGACCTCACACCACAGAGGCCACCCCTGAGACAGACGTCACCTTGTTGTCCTCAGCCCAGGGCTGCAGGTTCTGCAGGGCGTAGAGGGAGGAGTTGTGCATGCAGAGCGGGTCCTGGGGCAGCGGCTGGCTCAGGCTCTTCTGGAAGGCCTCCTGCTGCAGGTGCAGCATCAGGCGGTTGGCCTGCTGGCGCTCCGCCTCGCGCTCCTCCGCCGTCTGCCTCCTGCCAGCACACACAGCCCGTCCGGCACTGCCCTGCTGCCCCACAGCGATGCCCCACAGCGATGCCCCACAGCAGCGAGCCGCCGCCTCTGCCCGTAGCCCATCCCGCTGCTGGCGCTGCTGCGCACACCAGTCTTGGCAGTGCCCCACAGCCTCTACCCCACAGCCCCATCCCTCTCTCAGCACCGCTGTGGCAATGCCCCGCAGTCTACACCCGCAGCCCATCCAGGTGCCACGGTGCCCCTCAGCCCCCATCCACAGCCTGTCCCTCCCTCGGCACCACTGCCCCTCACCCAGCCGGGCACAGGGGACGCAGCGGGGATGGGCACCCCATCTCTGCCCAGCACAGCCTCTCCCAGGGGATGGCAGCCATGGGGAGTGGTGGTGCCGAAGGGGGGTGGTGGGTCAGAGCTGTGGGGGCTGCGGCAGCTGCCCCAGGCCCCAGCCCTGCCTTACCTCCACTTGGTGCGGCGGTTCTGGAACCAGGTCTTGACCTGGGCGTCCGTCATCTTGAGGGCCTTGGCCAGGGTGGCACGCTCGGCCGAGGCCAGGTACTTCTGGCGGTGGAAGCGCTTCTCCAGCTCGCAGATCTGCACCCGGCTGAAGGAGGTGCGTGGCTTCTTCCGCTTGGGCGGCGTGCGGTTCTGGTAGGGGTGCCCAATCCGCCGGGTCGCCGCGAAGGGCGACAGCGCGGCTGCGGGCAGAGGGGGGGTGAGGAGTGGCTGGGGGCTGGGGGGGCCCCGGGCCGGGCAGAGCCCCTTTGAGGGCAGGGCAGAAGCGGGCACAGCCCAGGCAGCGTGGTAGCCCTGGAGGGATGCTCAGGGCCACGGGCACAGGAAGGTCTGGAGGGGTTGCCAGCGCTGCCTGGCAAAAAGGAGAGGAGAAGGAGACCCCGAGTTGTCCCCACCTGCTCCCACAGCCCAGGGATACACTGTGCTGCTCAAGATGTGGCAGGACGGCCCATCCCCACTCCACAGCCACGTCCCCATCGCTCCCCCAGCCTGGTGGGTGGAGACCGGAGCCAGCGGGGCAGCTGGGCAGCCCATGTCCCAGGACAACTGTGGGGCCGACAAGGCTCCCGGCAGCACAAACCCACCATTACTCATGTGCTGAGCTCAGCCGCAGCCCCAGAAGAGCCATTGCGGTGCTGCCGGGCATCCCAGCCCTCCCAGGGAGGGGACAGAGCCCCAGAAGCCATTGGGAGGTGGCTGATGTCTCCCTCTGTGTGCCGACAACATTCAGCTGGCCACCACCAGCTGCCCAGGTGCCCGGGGCCGGGGAAGGGGCTGTCCCTGCACAGCCGGGGTGGGCGCTAGGGACCACACGGCCAGTGTGACGCACCCCAGCCCCGGATGGAAGGAGAGCCACAGGGAGCAACAGGACAGCGAATGTGCGTAGAGGGAGGTGAGAGCTTGGTGGGGCACAGCCCCCAGCTCCCGTTCCCCTCCTGCTCCGGTGGTGGCCCATGGCCAAGCCACGGCCCCGCAGCACCATGGCCCTCGCCAGTGCCGCCACTGCACGTGAAGGCTGCTCATGGCTGAGCCCATGGGGCCACCATGGAGCTCCACCAGCCCAGGCTGCAGGGGCGTGGGGAAAGACCCCACAGCAGCCCCAGGGACAGCCTGGCGCCTGCCAGACCCTCCCCGTGAGGCCGGACCCTCCCTCCTGCCAGCACCCAGGCAGGCAACGCGGGCAGGAGGCCAGCCTGCCCGCCGGCAGGGGCGGACATGGTTGACGCAGGTGGAGCCACGCAGTCGGGGGGACGAAGGCCCCCGCGCCCCCTCCCCGCGCGGGGCGGCCCCTCGCTGGGAACAGATGCTGACAGCCCGCAGGCCACCCCAAGGCCAGTGGCGCTGAGTGATGGCTGTGGCTGGGAGACCCCGTGCTGGGGAGGAGCCGCCCCGTCCACCCACCGCTGGCGCCAGGCAGGAGACGGGGACGTCACCCGCCACCCTTGTGTGGGGACGGTGCTTCGTCACTGCTGGGATGGTGGGGTGGGCCGGGAGGCGAACCCGGCTCTGCTGGCGCCTGGGCTGGGCCCCCCACCATCTCCAGCCTCCCGCCCCACATGGCCCCAGTGCCCCCGCAGCCAGCGCTCAGCCTCCAGCCCCACGCAGCCCTCAGCCTCGTCCCCGCATGGAGCCGCGCGCTGCGGACGTGGCAGCGCCGCCATCTTGGGAAGGAGCCGAGCTGAGCCAAGCCGAGCCAGGTCAGGGCTCCCTGGCAACCCGCATGCACCCGGCCCACAGCCCCAGTGCCCAGCACCCCAACCACAGCACCCCACACCTTCTCCTCTGGGTGCAGCAACTGGCCCCCTCGCCCCAGCACTGGGTGCTCCAGCCGCTCAGCTCCCAGCCCTGCAGGCAGCACAAGGACCCTCCATCGCCTTCCCGACACCTGCGTCGCCACCCGCCCTCCCCAGCCCCAGCACGCACCATCCCAGCCTCTCCCTCGGCGCTCGCACCCTCTGCCCTGCGCCCGGCCCCACATACATGGGTCTCCAAGTCCCATCCACAGGCTCCTCATTGCTGGGCCCCATGGGGACCCCCACCGCCTGCCCCCGTCCCCAGGGGTACACAGGACAGGGGCACCTGCTCTTCACACCCAGCCCCACACGCAGATGGGTTTTGCCCATCTGCAGCCCCACAGCGGGTCCCTGCACCCCACTCCCGCTCCCCGCATCCTGGCTCCCTGCACCCCACAACCCCTGGCAGCGCCTCCATTACAGGTGGGACGGAGCCGGCCCCCAGTGCCCCCGGGCCCAGGGAAGGGACCGGACACGGAGCAAGCCCGAGGCCGGAGCACGGCGGGACCCCTCGGGCGCTGCTCCCAGCCGGACCCCGGCCAGTCCCTGCCCGGAGCCGCCGGGAGCCGGAACGGGATCGCGGCGGAGCTGCCGGCGGCTGCGCTAGCCCCAAACCGCTCTCCGCTGGCCCCGACGGCAGCCGCTTCCCGCGGCGGCGAG